TTTATTTCCTGCAGGGCACACCCTCTGAGGAAACCAGGAAGGCTAGGCCGGCAGTTTCTCAGAGAGCAGTGGCCATTGGAGGCCATTTTGGAAATAAGTCAGACTTCCCAAAGCTGCTTTGCTTTTTGGAGGAGGAAGGTCATGTTACAAGGAGCTGAGCGTTCCTTAAAATGGCCGAATAGAACCAGCACCTGACCAGTCACTTGTTTCTTTATGCTGATGAGAAAGGAGCTATGAGTCGGATTTACCTGGAGAGTGGCTGGCTGGAGGTGCCCTGGGGAGACGGCGACTTAGGTGGGTGCAGACCCCCCCCCCCCCAAGCTGCATGTGTCTCAGGATGGGAAAGCTGCTGTCCTGGGTGTGGTGTTTACCCATCAGGGCAGGCTCGCTCCCTGCAAATTAAATACCAAATGTCTGGGAACTCGTGTCGTTTCTAAATTTATTCTGAGTCACCTCCTGCGTGGTGACAGGGAGGCAGTGACAGCAGGCCTTTGATTAGAGGGCTGGAACTTACAGCTAGTCTGTAAAAATGATTTTCACACTGAATAATTTCACACTGAATTATCCCAAAGAGTTCAATCGGACATCGAAAAAAATCTCAGATACCGGATTGAAGTCCATCAAGGCTGTGAAGTGATTGAAGGGTTGTGTGTGAAGCTATCTTATTTTGTTGGATCTTAAGAAAGCTGGAAAACCTTTCCAGCAGGAAGCATATTCGTATGGAAAGGTGAGACAGTATTGAGATCATTTGACTAGAAAAGTGCTAAATTTCAGGCTCTGGGGGAGCGGGGGAAGGGTGAAAACTGAGTTTAAAACAGAAACTGGAACATGAGATAGTCCCTTTGATTCTCACCTCTGTCCAGATTAACTGCAGAAATTCTTCTAAGGACTTACAAGGAGGCACATGAGGTGGGGTTGCTGGGGAGTTAAATCAGCAGAAGTTAAACAACAAACAAACAAACAAACAAACAAAAAGCCAATAAACATTGTGTTTTGTTTTTCATTGAACAGCATTGTGTTCTGTAAACTACTCCTTTAATAGACTGGTATATCTTTATTTCTTACAGCTTATAGGAAAGAAAATGTAGTAGCCATTGTTGCTAGCTTAAATGCCTTTATAAGTCCTGCTATTGCTTATTACAGTGTATTTAATTAAGTTGATAACATTGAAAATCATTTCACTTGAGAGATACTGTTATTGTTCTAGCTGGTTTGGCTCAGTGGATTGAGCATTGGCCTGTGCAGTGAAGGGTCCCAGGGTTCAATTTGGTCAAGGGCACATGCCCAGGTTGCATGCTCGGTCCCGAGGAGGGGACATGGGGGGCAGCGTGCAGAGGGAAGCCAATCAATGATTCTCTCTCATTGACATTTCTCTCTCCCTTTCCATTCCTCTCTGAAATCAATAGAAATATATTTTTAAAATAGATGTTGTATTTATGGCGTGGGATTCCTTACATTTTGGAGAAGGATTGCTCCCTGAAGTTCCCATTGAAGTCTCCCCTGTTGGCTGGGTTTGTGTCGCAGGATGCTCAGCATTACTTACTTGTAGAGCAGGCCCTGGGAGCTCATTCCTGATCCCGGCATCCTGCCCCACAGGCAGTGCTGCCCACTGGGTGAGGACACTGGCCCTCCCATTAGATGGCTGCGGGGAGGCCACCCGCCCTGCCTGGCCATCCTTCTCCTCCCCAAGCTTCTGAGCCCCACCGCACCTGCTTTCTCACTTCCTCCTGGGCTCCATTTCCATCTGTCCCCCTCCTGCTCTTGCTTGCCCCTGCTGGAAACAATAATAACACACAGCAGGGGCCCCAGGCAGTGTGCAGGGCTGAGCTCAGCTGGAAAATACTCACCTGGCAGTTACTTCTTCTAAGCATGGTCCCTGCCCAGTGGGCCGAGGAGTCCCTCGTCCCCCACATGCTGTGTTTTCAGCGGTTTTGTCCCTGACCACCTGCACACACTGTCCAGCAGATTGCTGTGACATTTAACTTCCGTGTCATGTCAATGGAGGTCATATTAATAGGAATGACAGCAAATACACATAAGTAAGATCTGGCATCAGCATTTTTTCCCTCCGCCGTAATGGCCTTAAAAAACAAACAAACAAACAAGCAAACAAAAAAATAGACTGGGACAGAAAGGTATGTGGCAGTCCTGGAAGGGAAACCCCGTGAAGTGGGATGTAGGTGGGAAATACATATACTTTGCTCTCTGTGTTGGTCCTTGCGAGCCTATTTTCTTTCTTTCTTTTCTTTTTTTCTTTTTTTTTTTCTTTGTACTATATCTTTATTGATTTTTTACAGAGAGGAAGGGAGAGAGATAGAGAGCTAGAAACGTTGATGAAAGAGAAACATCGACCAGCTGCCTCTTGCACACCCCGTACCGGGGATGTGCCCGCAACCAACGTACATGCCCTTGACCTGAGTCAAACCTGGGACCTTTCAGTCCACAGACCGACGCTCTACTCCTGAGCCAGACCGGTTTCGGCAAGCGTAGCCTATTTTCTAAGTGACCCTTTTCCCTCTTTTTCTTTTTTATCTTGTGCACACCAGCAAGCAGTGCTCACAGGGGCCAGAGGACACCCAGTCCGTTTGATGGACAAACACATGAGTATGCAGAAGAGGAGACCGGGTTCCTCATAGCTGCACACATTGCTCACTTCGCTGCCCCAAAAGGTCTTCATGATCTCCCTGAACCAAGTGAGCCCAGGATGAATCCCAAAAGGCCCTTTCTCCGTGCTCCCACCCCGGCAGCTGCTGAATTGCCGCTGAAGCTAATGATGAGGGAAGAACGCTTAGAGCTGGGCAGTGGGCCCATTCAATGCAGCACAGCTTTCAGAGATAAGCTAAGGGTAACGGACTCCATTATGACCCCATGGAGGAGGGCACACATGATTCTTATACACATTATAGCTAGTCATTTAAATTCAAACATACTTAAGTATTGAATACTCAATACCTTATTGACTGCTCTGCTGAATAAACAGAACAGAGTGGTTTCATACATATGCAATCTCTCTGGGAAGTGAATATTACCATTTTCTCTTTAAAAATATGTTTTTATTGATTTCAGAGAGGAAGGGAGAGAGAGAGATAGAAACATCAATGAGAGAATCATTGATTGGCTGCCTCCTGTGCGCCCCCTACTGGGGATCCAGCTTGCAACATGGGTGTGTACCCTGATGGGGAATTGAACTGTGATCTCTTGGTTCATGGGTTGATGCTCCATCAGTGAGCCACACCGGCCGGGCTATAATTTTCTTATTTAAATATTCACAGTGAGAATGGATATATGTTCCAGTGCTCCAGAATTTCACTCCTCAATCAAGTTGTTCAAGGCTATGTCTGATTTGCAACGCATCAGATTTCATTTTAAAAGCTACAACTCAAAACATGTTCCCAAAAATAATATTATTTCCAATGGAGACTTTTGCAATGCAGGAGGTGAGAACATAATGCTCCAGTTTCTTATAAATTATTATCTGGCCACCAACTTCTGTCCTATCAATGGATAGTTACTGGTGTGCAATATTTATTTCAATCCTGCTTCTAATATATAGCAGGAGCGTTGCCTATGGAAAGAAATAACACACAAAAGCTAACAACAGTAACTCTTCTTTCCGTTGAAAACTCAAGGAGTTGGCTGTCTGGCTTAGTAATCCTCTGGATGAGCAAGAAACATTGCTAGAGGGAAAGCAAACCCAAGCCAGGGAATGCAGTGTCTGACTCACTCAGCTCCGGAGAAGCCATGTAATGCCCTACACGTGACTTCCTTCCTTCCAGTGCTCAGCGCCTCACCTGTAAGATAGGCATAATCATTGCGTATACCTAACCCAGCAGTGAGAACTAGCTGAGCAGTCGAACACGGTGCTTAGACTAGCTCATTCTAGGGGGAACACTGTTCAATATTAGCTGTAATTACCATTAGTCATGACTCAATGCCCGTGCATAGAAGACTCTTCCCCTCCCCATTAGGAGCAGTGTTCTTAATAAAATCCCAAGTATCACTGGTCATAAAAAAAAGGTTTGGCTCAATGGATAGAGCGTCGGCCTGTGGACTGAAAGGTCCCAGGTTCGATTACAGTTAAGGGCATGTACTTTGGGTGCGGGCACCTCCCCAGTAGTGGGTGTGCAAGAGGCAGCTGATCAATGATTCTCTCTCATCGATGTTTCTAACTCTCGATCCCTCTCTTTCTCTCTGTGAAAAATCCATAAAATATATTAAAAAAAAAAAAAAAGGCTGGTGACTGGCCGTTGACTTCTCTCTAGAGCAGGTTCAGTGTCGTTCGTCGCCTTGTGGTGTGTGCCCCACGTCACATTCAGTGGCGTGGTTTGGACCTCACTGACGGGTGGGAAGGCCCACTGTGAAACCACAGTACAGAAGCACAGGCGGACGTGGACTCTGCTGAAGGCACACGTGCAGACACGACACGGTGTCGCCTAAAGGACAATGAGTGCCCTGCCGACTTCCCCATGGTTGTCCTGACCCATTGCCAGGCTTTCGGCGTGCTTTGCCCACAATGTGTGTCTGACTAGCAGCTAAGCGACTATTTAAATTGCACTAGAGTTTACTTTACAATTATTTGTTGCATAAATAACATTATTTTGATTTGTTGCAGCCCTCACACCTCAAGGAAGGGAAACAGCAGAGTAGGGGTGAAGGTTGGGGAGGGCATGGGGAGGTGGTCTGTCCAGCTGCTAAAAGTGCCAAGCCAGAATTTGGGGGGTTCTGTCTGGACAACCATGAGACAAGGGTGGTTTTTCGTGTGTTGGTTTTGGTGGCAAATCTTGTGACCTTAATCCTCCTAGTCTTGGAAGGAGAGAATCCCAAAGGTGAGGGGTTTGGGATCAGCCAGTCAGGATCCTGGAGAAAATCCAGTTTCCTGGTGGCAGGGATACATGTTCTGGTCCCTGTGGGAACCCTGGGTCGGGGGTCCCTGCTCCCGCTGGATCAGTCCTGGCTCAGGGGGCTCGCCCGGACTAAGACTGGGTGCCTTCTCTCCGCAGGTTCCTGGGCAGACCGCTCACCTCTCCACGAAGCAGCGAGCCAAGGCCGCCTCCTGGCTCTGCAGACCCTCCTCTCCCAGGTGAGGTGTCCCCTGTGCTCAAAACAATCCGGCCCTGAGCAGAGACCGTGAGCCCCAGAGTCATCAGCTCGGAAATGCTAACACCGCTCCGTAACTCTGTTTAGCCTTTTCAGTTGAACTCACCAAGCGGTCAAGTCTGAGTTTCTCGTCTGTCTCTGAAAGCTCTTTATGACTATGTTGGTGTCTGCTCTTAAGTCTTAACATTTCCGATTTCCTGTGCAGTGTATGCTTATTGACAGACACATGTATGCAGGAAATCATTGGAATCGCGTGTTATTTATTAAGTGTGTTAAGTATCCTTCGCCCTACAATGTATGCAGCTGATCCAGCTCAGCCTAAAATATCCAAAAAAGGCTTGTCAGACCAGCCGCCTAAACCAGTGGTTGGCAAACTCATTAGTCCACAGAGCCAAGTATCAACAGTACAACGATTCAAATTTCTTTTGAGAGCCGAAAACCGACTTCTGTGCGTGGGCCAGGAGATTTCAATTGCACTGTATGTGTGCGCCTGCACGTGGTATTTTGTGGAAGAGCCACACACAAGGGGCCAAAGAGCCGCATGTGACTTTCGAGCCACGGTTTGCCAACCACTGGCCTTAGAGCACCTTCACGGCAGCTTGTGATGCGTGTGGGGACTGCCTGTGAGAGAGATGGCCGGTCATTCCTCCCTGCCTGCCCATCGCTCGCCGGAGGGAAGGTGGAACTCACAGGGCTCTGCTGAAATTAAACCGCTCTGGCTCGGCCTGAGGGTTTTGAAAAGTTGCCGATGTGCAGAGAAAAAGAAAGAAAAGTATTTGCCAGCGCGATTCAGACAGACACCCCGACCAGGCAGCACTGCCGGTGTCTCCAGGCATCAAGGAGAGAGGCGTTTCCCCCAGGGCCACGAGGGAGGAGAACAGTGTCTGTGGCCCAGGGTGAGGGCACCTGGGGGGGGGACCTGGATGCCAGGCTGGCACTGAAGGTGAACCCCAGGCTCTCCTGGCCCCGCTGTCACTCTCTGCAATGAGAAGATTTAGGGTGAGAAGCCCCTGGGGCCCAGCCACTTCTCTGATAACCACATGGCCGTTTTGTTTGCTCCTTCGCTTCATGGAAAAACCCTGCAGAGAGGTCATTCCCATCTAAGAGTCACACAGTTCTCAGAGAGGCGGGCAGTCTGAGGGTATTTCCTGACCCGTGTGTCATGTCTGCCGACAGCCCCGCTGGGAAGAGCCAGAGGCTGCAAAGGTCCTGCACTATGGGGAATCTCGCCTTCCAGAAGCTTCCATCGCCTGGTCCCTAGTGTGTGGCCGTGGGCAGTCCCTCCTCCAACTCTGACAGCTGGCCAGCCGCCTGGGAATGCTTGAAAGGGTCATTTAAGGGATCTTAAAACTGCCACTTGCTGGGGACAACGATTAAGGGTGATTGTTTCCTTGCCTCCGTTTTAAGATCCCTCACGTCCCTCTGGCATTACAGACCTCGGTGGTCCGAAATCCGTCATGGGGATCAGGCCAGACAAGTCTCCTCAGGATGGAGCTTAGCGTGATGGTCAACAGACAGCGAACTACCAGCCACAGCAAGAAGGCAAAGGATCGCAGACCCTAATCAGACTTAATTACGTTAGTCTGATATCTTCAGCTTAATTAGAGCTGTGGCCGGCAAACTGCGCTCGCAAGCCACATGCAGCTCTTTGGCCCCTTGAGTGTGGCTCTTCCACAAAACACCACGGCCTGTGTGAGTCTGTTTTGAAGAAGTGTTGTTAGAGGTTTAAGTTTAAAAAATTTGGCGCTCAAAAGAAATTTCAATCATTGTACTGTTGATATTTGGCTCCGTTGACAAATGAGTTTGCCGACCATTGAATTAGAATAATGGGTTTGAAAGTGTTTCGTTGTGATTGAATAAGCAAATCAAACCTTCCCTCTATGCTGGGCACCGTAACAATAATTGCTCTCTCTGCGTCCTCTCATTTAATTTCCGTTGCGTTAGCGGCTCATGGACTCATCTGCATGAAAGCCATCGCGGCCTACGGACCGAGGCTCCCAAGCCAAGCCTGACTCCGTAGTTAAGGCCACTCACCTCCAGCTCAGAACCTCCTCAGCCCCACTTCCTGCCAGAACTTCCCAAAGTGGATTCCTACAGTCCAGGGCATTCCCCAAGGGCAGGCTGACGTGGGATTTTATAGCCCAACCCCAAGCAAGTGAGCCAGCCTCTACACAGGCTGCAGTCCCACAAAACAAACCAAAAACCAACAGCGACCCCAGCCATTCCTAAAGAGGAATAAAAAGTTACCTAAGCAAATGTCAGTCATACTTGCAGAATCTATTGAGCGAAAGGCTTAAAGCGGCACTTGGCCTGGGTAGGTGGTGTCACAATTACGGGCCCAGGTGTCCCTCCATGGCATTCGGACTGGCCTTTCCAGCCGAACAAGCCTGCCTTGCTGGGCGTTCCTTGGCTTTTGGCATCACTCTTTAGGGGTCACTGTAGAGATGACTTGACAGGACTTGTTCTCACCTTTCAAAACGATTCCTGTCACCTTCAGGGTTATAACGTAAACGCCGTCACCATAGACCATGTCACCCCACTGCACGAAGCCTGCCTCGGCGACCACGTGGCCTGTGCCCGGACTCTTCTGGAAGCTGGAGCTAATGTAAGTCCCTGTTCCATGTTCGCATCAACTAAGAGGGCTCAGATCGAGAGAAGTTCTCATCCTGCCTCCCTTTCCTTCTTGGTGGTTCTCAGAGACAGTGGGATAAAAACAAAGCTCTCCAACTGCCCAGCCTTCTCTCATTCGCACTTCAAGAAGGAACCCCAATCATTGCAAAAGTGGGGTAGCCCACTGCATCCTATGGAGTACTCCGTGGGCTGTGCTCTGCTTTCGTGGTTCTCCATAGGAATAGATGAGCTTGTTTGTGCCTATAATGTTTGCCCATCTTTTGGATGATTTTCTTTAAAAAATATTTTTTATTGATGTCAGAGACGAGGGAAGAGGGAGAGAGGAATAGAAACATCAATGATGACAGAGAATCGTTGATTGGCTGGCGTCTCCTGCACACCCCAAACTGGGGATTGAGCCTGCAACCCGGCCTTATGCCCTGACTGGGAATTGAACACTCACCTCCTGATTCATAGGTTGACGCTCAACCACTGAGCCAAGCCTGCTGAGTTGGATGATTTTCTTTAGATAAGTCCTCAGAAATTTCATTTTCAATTGAAACTGCTCCTGGAAAAGTGGCTTTGTCATTATTTTCATCAATCACTGTCACATTTGTTGACTTTCTTACCTATTGAAAAGTACCTAACCATTAAATTCATTTTTTTGTGTATTTGATCCTTGAGTATGTAGTTTTTTCATCATTTTTATTGTAGGTTCATTCCTATGAGTTATCCACCATATCCTCTTTCTATGTATCTGTTGAAGCTGTAAAGCTTTCCTTACCCATGTGTCTGAGCTAAGCACCCTTTGTCATATTTACCACACACGTGTTCCCAGTTATTTCTGTGGGCAGATCACCACACCTTTAGACGAGCCTGCGAATCGATCACGTGCGATCCTCCGAATCTCACTCTCAGGTTTCGGTTCGGTTTAGGTCAACGCGATCACCATAGATGGCGTGACGCCGTTGTTCAACGCCTGCTCGCAGGGCAGCCCGAGCTGCACGGAGCTGCTGCTGGAGTACGGAGCCAAGCCGCAGCTGGAGTCCTGCCTGCCCTCCCCGACCCACGAGGCCGCCAGCAAAGGTCAGCTCCGGGCAAGTGGCAAGGGCAGCCAGCGGGCCACCTGCGGGCTGCAAGGACCTTGTGGTGACTGACAGGCTGGGGCTGTGGGCGCAGGTGCATGGGGGGTGGGCCTGGAGGAAAACGGGTCTGGACTGTGTGTCCGCAGGCCACCACGAATGTCTGCAGATCCTCATCTCCTGGGGCATAGATGTTGACCAAGACATTCCTCATCTGGGAACGCCGCTATATGTAGCTTGCATGTCACAGCAATTCCACTGCATCCGGAAGCTTCTTTACGCTGGTAAGGTCCTTTCAAACATCTTCCATCCCATCCATACCCACAAGCAGTATAACAGCTCTTATTTCTTTGTCCTAAAAAAAAAAGTGTTGATTGATTTGAGAGAGAGGGAGAGATTTGCTGTTTCACCAATTTATGCACTCATTGGTGGAATCTTGTATGTGCCCCCATCAGGGATGGAGCCCTCAGCCTTGGCATTTCGGGGTGATGCTCTAGCAGCTGATGAACTACTCAGCCAGGGCTCCACTTGTTTCTCTACATAAGCTGCTTTAAAATTATATCTCATTTAAAAAATGTTCTTCTTCTAAGCTTCTCACATATCGGCCTATAGCCTATAAATAAGAACCTCATTTTTAAAAAATCTTTATTGTTGAAAGTATTACATAGGTCCCCTTTTTCCCCCTCATTGACACCGTCCAGCCAATCCCCTGCCCCAGGCCCTCACCACCTACTGTCTGTGTCCATGGGTGATGCATATATGCATACAAGGTCTTTGGTTGGTTACCTCCCACCTACCCACCCTTCCCCATCTTCCCTCTGAGATTCCTCACTCTGTTCCCTGCAAGACTTCATTCTTCTTCTTCTTCTTCTTCTTCTTTTTTTTAAATTTTATTGATTTTTTACAGAGAGGAAGGGAGAATAATAGAGAGCTAGAAACGTCGATGAGAGAGAAACATGGACCAGCTGCCTCTTGCACACCCCCTACTGGGGATGTGCCCACAACCAACGTACATGCCCCTGACCGGAATAGAACCTGGGACCTTTCAGTCCGCAGACCGACGCTCTACCACTGAGCCAAACCGGTTTCGGCAAGACTTCATTCTTGATAACTCCACTTCACCCCAAAGCTCCAACCCCTCTACTTACAAAGGTCAAAGGTCATCACATTCAGATTTTCACGTTTGAATGCAATGTTGCTAAATGTGAATATATCTGGGAAGAAAACGATCAAAAGAAATTCTAGGGATAGTTAACTGCCTGTCTCCTTACCCCCCACCGACACTAACTCCCACACGGTCCTAGACTGTCATCAGTCTCACTTACCTGAAGAGTGCCCACTTATTTAAAACAAACCAGGTCCTCAAGGTTCAACTCCAGTCCTGAGAACCTTCTCCCGACCTTGGGATCAGGGCTGGGAGCTTGGTTATGTATGATTTTCTCTTTTTTCATCCTCTCCCCCTCCAGCACAGTGCTTCTCATGGCGGTGTTTAAAATATATTTTTATTGATTTTGTACAGAGAAGAAGGGAGAGAGATAGAGAGTTAGAAACATCGATGAGAGAGAATCATCAATCAGCTGCCTCTTGCACACCCCCTACTGGGAATATGCCCGCAACCAAGGTACATGCCCTTGACTGGAATTGAACCTGGGACCTTTTAGTCCCCAAGCCGACGCTCTATCCATTGAGCCAAACTGGTTTCGGCTCATGGCGGTGTTTAAATAGACTTAAAATAAGTAAATAAGTTTCTATGCTTTTTATTGTTCACTAGAGGCCCAGTGCACAAGATTCATGCACTCAGGACCAGAGGTGGGGGACCCCTCAGCCCGGCCTGCACCCTCTCGCAGTCGGGGAGGGAGAAGTGGGCCTAAGCAGGCAGCCGGACATCCTTAGCACTGCCATGGAGGCAAAGAGGCTCCTGCCACCACCGCTTGCCAGCTGTGAGTCCACCTCAAGGCTTCTGGCTGAGCAGCACTCCCCCTTGGGAATGCACTGACCACCAGGGAGCAGCTCCTGCACTGAGCATCTGCCCCCTGGTGATCAGTGCATGTCATAGTGACCGATCATTCTACCATTCAGTCTATTTGCAATTAGCCTTTTATTATATAGGATGGCAATCGTTTGACCTCTGATACATCCTGACAGGTCTTTGGTAACCCCTTACTGTTCCTCACAGTATCTTCGCTAAATTACTCATTTCTGGCATGCACTCTCCATCTGTTCCACTCCCTTTACTACTAAGACTTGTAACACAAGTTCTGCTAATAATCTTTGGCAGGTTGTTATTTCCGGGCCGTGTCTCCCATAAGCTTACATAGCCAGGAGAGTGTGTTCTTCATTACCTTTCTTTACTTTGCTGGGAATATTTTCCTTCCATTGAATATTTTATGGGTAGAAGAATACTGTAAAGTGCTGGACGGACCTCCATTCTCAGGCTTTGTTCTCTCCTGACACCGACGCACCCAGCAGCGCGTATGCTCCCCGGATGGAGATTTTGTTATGCAAGGCAATGTTCCCATTAAACATTTCCATTAGGTTAAAATGTTGGAAACAATTACATTGATTGCACCTTGAGCGTGGCAGGAGGGCCGCTCCCAGCTTAGAGTGCCCTGCTTCTTACCAACAGGAGTTTGACAGACAGGACCAGGGAGCTGGGCTGAAGGGACTAATGCATTTTCATCGATACATTTCTCGGTGTTGTAACCACTTAGGTGCTGGAAAATGGGATTCTTCTTCTCCCGTACCATATTAAACAGCATTTCTCTATCAGCCATGCATTCAGGGGCCGCCACGGAGATAAAGGGCAATGCATTACGTGATTTAGCACGGGAGTTATTTTTAAATGGAAGCACTTAAGACAATTTGCATGCAGAAACAGAATGTGCCTTTCCACTGGACAGACTCGGAGCCTGTGTGCAGTTATTGCCTTCAACTACACGAGTGAGAATTGATAGGAACGTCTCACTACATTTTACCCAAAGAGCCTATGTCTCTGGAATCACAAATTTTCCAAGAAACAAAAGAACTCTGTTGCCTTAAAATAAATGAAAAGAAGAAAAGCAATAAGCTCTCGAATTCTCCTGAGAGCTATCAGTCAGGATGCAAGTAGATATGTGTCAACCTAATTGTGCACTGTTTATAATACATATGATAGCTAACATGAGGAACGTTGGAACTGTTTAAATTTAAAAGTTATTTTTGTTAGGTGATATTTTAACCATATCACCTAACAAAAAGAAGAATAGTAGACAGTATAAATATGTGCATTTTTCATCCAGATCTACCAAGTTTTAAGATTATGTAAGTGTGTATATATATGTGTGTATGTGTATATGTATATGTACATGTGTGTGTGTTTGTATTTGTGTAATGTTAAAAACATTCAAACCTGTAAAGAAAATTTGTGAGTTTATTTGAGCCAAACGATCCACAATTGCTCGGAAGCAGAATCTCAGCGGATTGGGATAGTGCTCCGGAGAATGGCGGTTTTTCATCTATTTTTATACATCGCAATCAAAGGAGGGACATAGGTGGGTTACATGAAATCCACTGGTGATGGATTAGGGAGGTGGGAGAAAGCAAAGCAGGGAAGTCTCTGGGATTGGATAAAAAGTAAAATAATGGACACATACTTAGTGGGTACCGGATAGTTAACAGTCAACAATTAACACGATGACAATGACAATGAAGGACTCTGTGGTCTCCGTCCTGGTGCCCAGCACATGAGGTTGTGCCCCAAGGGGTCTGGGAAAAGGGAAGTTACACGCTGCCCGGACCTTTCATAGCCATGTTAACACAGATGCAAAAGGACAATAGGCTCAGAGAAGGTGAGGGCTGACCTTGTCAGGGAAGATACCGGCGTAGGACAGGACTGCCCACCATCACTGCCTTTAGTCAAAGTGTAATTTCAGGCCATCCTGTGTGGTGACGTTAGGTCTCTAAGTTTGCAAGCCCGCCATGCAGGCATCCCTGAGCTGTCAGGGTTAGCATATGGCCCCTTTCGTATATAGTATGTGTATGCATGCATGTGTATGTTCATATATGTATGTACATGGACATATATGTATGAGTGAGGCACTCGGTGCCAATGGAGGTGAGGTCCTTTCTGCCACCCCTTCCTCCCTGCCCTGAGGTGACCCTTAGAACATCTCTGTTTGTCCCCATCGCCGTCCTATTTCCCCATAGGCGCTGACATACAGAAAGGCAAATACTGGGACACGCCGCTCCACGCTGCCGCCCAGCTGTCCAACACGGAGATTGTCCACCTGCTGCTGGAGTTCGGGGCGGACATCAACGCCAAGAACACGGAGCTGCTGCGGCCAGTGGACGTGGCCACGTCGAGCAGCCTGGTGGAGAGAATGCTGCTGCAGCACGAAGGTAGGGGCAGGGGTGGCGTCCGGACCAGGGCGGCGCGTCTGCGGGGAGAGGGAGCAGGGGGACCAGGAGCCCAGGGCATGCGAGACAGTAATGCTGTGCGGGCTGGAATATTTTTTGTGAAAGTAAATACTTTTTAACTCAGGTTCTATCGATGAAAAAGACAATCACAATGATCTTCATTTTCTTTTACTTTTCTTCATTCGACCTAAACTCTCTGTTCCTTTGGCTAAGTTAAATAGACTCGGTTTTGACCCTACATATCATGTAATTCTGTATCATATCTACAAAAAAACCCTTAGAGACTCCTCACTTTACAGGGGCGGGCACCGTCTACGATGGGGGTAGAAACATGAGCAGGAAATGCTTTCACACTTACGACTTAGATCCAAAACCGAATCTCCCCAGTCCGGCCCAGACACAGCAATTCAATTGGCTTTGGCTTAAACGATAAATCGAATTTGAGAAAAGCAATTAGTGCAGGCCCTCCTTTGATCTGTAGCTCCTTCAAAAAGCAGAATTTGTTTCTGAGATTTTATTTTCTTTTAATATATTTTTATTGATTGCAGAGAGGAAGGGAGAGGGAGAGAGAGACATACTAGAAACATCGATGACCAAAGAGAATCATTGATTGGCTGCCTCCTGCACGCCCTCTACTGGGGATTGAGGCCCCAACCTTGGTTTGTACCCTGACCTGAAATCAAACAATGACCTCCTGGTTCATAGGTTGACGCTCAACCACCGAGCCACACCGGCTGAGCAATTTCTAGCCCGAAGGCTTCCATGCCTTAAAGCAGGTGGATGGACTATACCTCCATTCTAACACCGTCTTACGAAGGCCGTGTAAATGCTTGCATGATTTCCCTGGTACAGGGGTCATGCTGCCAGTTTGCCACAAAGCTCTGTAGATTTCCCCGGTGTGACTTCATGCACCTTGTAAGGCCTGGAGATCCGTGTTTTGATGTAACGGACACACACCTGCTTGTCTCTTGCAGCCACGCCCAGCTCCCTCTGCCAGCTGTGCCGCCTCTGCATCCGACGCCGCATCGGACGGCCGCGCCTGCAGCTCATCCCGCAGCTCCAGCTGCCCACGCTGCTGCAGAACTTCCTCCAGTACCGATAGAGAGTAAAAGCCTCTGAGCCCGACAGTCCCAGCTCTGCTTCCCCCGCACGCTGCATATTTCACATTAAAATGTGCTCATGGGGGAGGGGGAGGGGGGAGACGTGGGTGGGGGAAATATCGGTTTCACCTGTAAGTGTCCTAGAGGGCACTGCTGTTTTAGGTAAGCGTTGTCATTGTTTGTGGACAGAGTATGTCTAACACACCTATGTATTATTATTTCCATAGACCCTTCTGTTGGCTTAGGGGAAAACAGAGTTCTCCATTTTATGGTTTTGTTTTTGAGTGAAAAGGAAATATTCTTCTTTATATGGTGTATTTAAAAAGGTCTATGGTCTTCAAATAATGTGTTCACCTTTCTAGTTTGGTCTGCCATGATTCTCTGTATTTTTATATTAAGACGAACCATGAGTACAGCTTAGCAAACAGCAGGGAGCCTGGCTGGTGTCACTCAGTGGTTGGGCATCGGCCCAGGAACCGAGAGGTCGCTGGTTCGGTTCCCAATCAGGGCACATGCCCGGGTTTCGGTCTTGATCCCCCGTGGGGGCATGCAGGAGGCAGCCGATCAATGACTTGCTCCCTCATCTTTGATGTTTCCATCTCGCTCTCCCTCTCCCTTCCTCTCTCTAATAAAAATCAATAAAAATATATTTTCAAAAAAAGAGCCACTAAGACTCGTTTGAAATAAAGAGGACTCATCGGGGCAGCCACTGAGTGGCACCCGCACTGTCCTTACAGCGATCAGTTCACAGGGAAAGAGAGTCCCTCTCCTTGCAGAGATCTGGACCAGCTGGGACCCGGAGTTATGCTGCCACCCCTCCCCCACACACACACACCCTGAGGTGAGGACCTCGCCACCTGCTGGGCTATTTTAAGGCCGCCCCTCCTCAAGCGCAGCCTGGGGAGGTCTCTCTCCAGAGCTTTCTGACACATCATGCCTGCCTCCTCCAGGTTCAGGCATCGCCAGCAGCTGGTGCTCCGGGGACCGAGGGGAAGGGACTGGACGCCGTGTCTGCCTGGCAAAGAGGCCCTGCCCTGGTCACACCTCGGGGAGCAGGGCAGCCAAGGCCTTCGGAAATGGGAGAGCAAGAGTTCCTTAAACTGCGGGTCCACTTAGCCAACCTACAGGCCTCAAAAACGGCCCCCGGGATAGACACTAAGAGGGTGTTTCTCCTTAATCAGGCCACGCTGTCAGCCACGGGAGTGAGGGAGCGTTGGGTCAAAGAGGCTACTCTGAGACAGCGCCCTCTGCAGGGTGAATACCGTCTTTATTCTCTTGCTTTACCTGTGCTGGTGCCATGGAAAAATCGTGTCTGTCCCCTTTGTCCTCGAGGCCGGAGTTGAGTAGATTACGGATTTAAGAATAAGACCATCAAGATGCTTACAACTCTGTTAAGTAGAAGAACATATTTTGATGAGGTTTTAAAATTTATCACATTTTTGGTAAAAAATGATGTAACTCCTATTTCAATAACTCAGAGGCCCATTTTCCTGTCTCCTTAGTTCTCCTGCCGACTTCCAGAGACCCCTGGGGGATTTATTGTTTAAAATTCCCAAATCATGACGTTTTGCATCAAAAATCATTTTGAGGGACGGGGTGAGACTGAGTGAGTGAATTGTACGCACTCGGGCATCTTCAGGAGGTGGGAAAATCCAACGTACAAATTGTTGCCAAATACTACACAATAACACTTCCTGTAATAACCAAGGAAACGGGTGCATTTAGACATTAAACTTTTATTCAGACGTTAAGCATTTTATTAAACATTCAGACATTGAACATTGAATTTCCAAGGCCCTTTTTCCCACCGGTGTTTGGGAGGGAAGGCCGTATCGTTTCCAGTTTCCAAACAACACTGCCCTTGTCCCCTCAGCCTCCCACACGCTCCTTACCCCGCTGGGCTGGGCTGACACCCACAGGCCCACAGTGAAAAGGCCACTGCCCCTGCCGCCGGCTTCAGGAGGCAGCCTGGCAGGGATTCCCTCATCACTGATGCTTCTATCCCTCTTTCCCTCTCCCTTCCTCTCTCGGAAATCAATAAAAATACAAGCCTGACCAATGGACACAGATACTAGGGGGGTGAGGGCATGAGTGGGGGGATGGGGGGAATCAGGAGATAAGGACACATATGTAATAGCTTAATAAAGAAATTAAAAACACTTTAAAAAGACAAAAATATATATATATGTTTATTGGGTTTTTAAATTTTTTTATTTAAACAATTTTTATTTTATATATATATATATATATATATATATATATATATATATATATATATATTTTTTTTTTTTTTTTTTTTTTTAAATAAAATGAAAAGTAAACCTCAAAGGGGCAGACAGGAACACAGCCTGAAGCCCCTCACTCCCAGCCCCAGGCTGAAGCTCCCCGGACCGTGTCCGCGTCCAGTTCCCACAGGGATCACGCCCCCCAGGGCAGAGCTTCAGATCCCAAATCAGGAGGCCCAGGAAGCCTGCAAGGAGGCCCAGCGCCCCCCAGGCCGGCCCCGCCCTCCCCGTTGAGGCCCCGCCCCTTTCTGGGCGCTGCCATGGAAACCCAGAAAGCCACAGGGCAGCCATCCGCGGAAGAAAGGGAAGAGGGCGCCGTTGCAGATGCCACAGGCAGCCCCGGCCAAGCTGCCTCCCGTCTCCTCGCAGCCCTCCCAGGCGGGCTCGGGGCGGCCTAGGAAGGGCCTGGTCTACCCGCACCCGCCCCGGCGGTCCCGCCTGTCCCGCTCCGTCCTGCGCTGGCTGCAGAGCCTGGACCTCACCTTCTTCCCCAGGAACATCAGCAGGTGGGCGCAGGGGACCCGCACCTGCCTCCTGCAGGCCGCCAGGGCCCACACACACTCCGCCCCCTCAGGGAGCAGCCTGAGAACAGTGTGATGGAGCTCATTCATTCATTCATTCAATCATTCAACCATTCATTCAATCACTCAATCATTCATTCAATCATTCATTCAATCATTCATTCAATCATTTAACCATTCATTCAATCATTTAACCATTCATTCAATCATTCAACCATTCATTCAATCATTCATTCAATCATTCATTCAATCATTCATTCAATCATTTAACCATTCATTCAATCATTTAACCATTCATTCAATCATTCAACCATTCATTCAATCATTCATTCAATCATTCATTCAATCATTCAATCATTCATTCAATCATTCATTCAATCATTTAACCATTCATTCAATCATTTAACCATTCATTCAATCATTCATTCAATCATTCATTCAATCATTCAATCATTCATTCAATCCATCATTACATCTTAGACCTCTGCTGACAGAGGAAGGGTGCTTTGGTGACTACTGCGCGGAGAGTATTAAAACAGCCCAGGCTCCTCAGAGTCACTGGACCAGGTCCTGGCTGTCAGGACGGACGGTTAGCTCGGTGTTAACTGGAGCACAGAGAGTGTAAGTGACTCCATGTCATCTCCTTTCCTTTCTGCCGAGGAGCAGGGATTTTTCCAATGGCTACCTGATAGCAGAGATATTCGCCATACATTACCCCGGGGACCTCAGCTTGTCATCCTTTGAAAACGGCACTTCCTTACGGGTCAAGTTGGATAACTGGGCGCAGTTGGAAAAGGTAAGTTCGCAACCAGGGACAGCTTTGTTCCGTGGGCGCTTTCAACGGTCTGGGTTTCACCGAAAGCGGTTTGGCTCAGTGGATAGAGCATCGGCCTGTGGACTGACGGGTCCTAGGTTCGATTCCGGTCAAGGGCATGTACCTTGGTTGTGGGCACATCCCCAGTGGGGGGTGTGCAGGAGGTGGCTGATCAATGTTTCTAGGTCTCTATCCCTTTCTCTTCCTCTGTAAAAAAAAAAAAAAAAAAAAAAAAAAAAAAAATCAATAAAATATATTTAAAAAAATAAAAGGTCTGGGTTTTTAGATGTGACCGTGGTCAGCAAACTGCGGCTCTCAAGCCACATGAGGCTCTTTGGCCTTTCCAGTGTGGCTCTTCCACAAAATACCATGGCCTGGGCGAGTCTAGAAGAAGTTTACGTTTTAAAAAGTTGGCTCTCACAAGAAATTTCAATCATTGTACTGTTGATATTTGGCTCTGTTGACGAATGAGTATCACGGGCCTAGGAGGTGATACTGCCGAGTTGGCAGCTTGCTTCCTGAGGTAGAAAAGAAGGTCATTGACGCGCTCACGTCACAGGCGAGGGGGATGTCATGGCTCTCTTGCCCAATAACATCATTTAATAATGAACACGTGAAGCAGACAATCAGTGGAGAGAGAAAAGGGGGATTGACGTGAATCCATAGCGACTGAACGTTGGTATAGGAATTCTCGCGATGCTAATGTTCTCTTTCCTCTATTACAGTTCCTGGCCAAAAAGAAAATCAGATTGCCAAGAGAACTGATCTACGGGACGATCCACTGCAAAGCCGGGGTGCCGGAGATCCTGATCCAGGAGGTGTACACCTTGCTGACGCACCAGGAGTGAGCTGGGGGTTCTGGGAAATGCTGCTTCACCTGAAACTTGGGGTACTACCCATCTCATTCCCAGAATGGGGCTCGTGAACAGTATTTTGTGTGTTTTTATTTATTTATTTATTTATTTATTTATTTATTTATTTTTATTTCCAGAACACAAAGCATCCAGGATGACCTCGTGAACTTCACCGACTATAGCTACCAGATGCAACTGCCTCTGCTCCCCCGGTCCACGGCCTCCAAGTTCATCAAGGACAACATCCGCTTGTCAGAGCTCATGAGCAACCCCAGCGCGCTCAGCAACGAGCTGAAAATCGACTTCCTCTTCCTTTTGCAGATGCTGCAAAGGAAACTGAGCAGAAAGTTGCACCCAAGTAAGTTTTCCTCGGAAATCCTCGGCGGAATTCCTCTGCACCTAACAATGCTCCTCTTGGGCCCGAATGAAGGAAAGACACTCGTGTCTGCTGTCTCCGGTCACCGGTTTAACGGGAACATGCCTGTTATGCAAGCTGTGGGATGAATTGTTTTTCTCGGGCTGGTTTAT